AAGGTGGAGGGAGGAGATGCTGATGGCCCAGCACCGTGGTGCGGTGGGGTGCGGGCAGGGGGAGCGCAGCGCGGGGTGCTGGTGCACTCTGGCGGCTGCAAGCACCACTGCCAGCCCCACTGCCTGCAGCTGCTGCCTGCTTGTACAGGCGGCGACCTCTCTGCCTGCACAGACACTTAATGAAATGGTTTTTCATTTACTAATAACAGGTCTAAATGAAGGAGGCACTTGCTTCCAGTGCACTAGTGCTCCCTTGTGCTTTCCCTAGGGAAATTCCAGCCGTTGCTGAATTCTGTGACTTTTCTAGCCCCTGCCAGGCTGACGCTGGAGGGTGACGTGCCTGCAGGCAGGCATGGAGCGGTATAGAGGAGTGGGGTTTGTCGCTAGCTGGGAATGTCCATTGTGCCTTGCTGGGCTTGGGACGCAGCGGAGCAGCTGGGCAGGAGCCTCCCTGGAGCAGCACGGGCTCGGGAAGGGTTTTAGCAGGCTCCCAAGAGACCGCTGCCTTGTTGAAGTGTCTTTTGTTCTTGAGAAGGCGGGTGTTGGAGGTGTCCCCTTTGCCACGGTGTTGCTCTACGTGGTGGTCCTGCAGGCGTGTGTCACCCTGAGCATCTGAGGTCCCTGCAGGCCTTCTGGCAGGGCTGCAGCCCAGCACAGCCCTTGGGTGCTGGGGCAGGCGCAGTGAGCCTGAAGTGCAGGTGGAAAGGATGCCGGCTGTTTCAGGGGAACCTGGGGGAGGGAGCAGGCCTTTGAGGCAAGAGAAAGCGTCTCTCCTGCTCTCCCTGGCACCCGGGGGAAAGGAAGCAGCACTCTTGGCACGGGGCTGGCATTGGGGTCCCTGGGCTCAGCCTGGCCACCGTGCCCGTGCCTTCCCCCAAAGCACCGGTGCCGCAGGGAGGGAAAAGCCCTTCCCCGGCATCTCCAGCTCCACCACCGCTGGCCTTTCCCCACAGAAAGCTGCGTTGGCACAGTTTCCAGAACTCGCACCGGCCCAGCCTGAACTCTGCCTCTCTGGAGATCAACCGCCAGTCCTCTGCCCAGCTCAACCTGCTCCAGAAGTGCTCCCTGCTCCGTCTCACAGCCATCATGGAGAAGTACTCCGTGCCCCACAAGCAAGCCTGGACGTGGTGAGCTGGTGGGGAGAGGGACCGGGACAGTGCCCGCGTGGTGGGCGCAGGCCGCGGCTCTGCGCTGCGCAGCTTCGGGGTGCGAGGATGGTGGAGAGCGAGGGGAAGAAGCTGAAACAAAAGCTGGCTTCGCTCTGCGTGGCTGTGGGTATCTGTGCAATGTGAGCTGGGGGCTGACAGCTGGGCTTCTGGCATCGTCTGCATCCGGGAGGGCTGCAGGCATTAAAAATGCTGCAGCGATGTAAAAGAGCAGGACAGTGGTTTCCTGTTGTAGCCAAGCATGAAAGCGTTTTGGCTTAAAAGGTGCTGCAGTTCCTCTCGAAAGCTGCCTCGCTTGTATTCAAAACATGGCAGAAGCACGTACGTGTGTGTCAGCGGGGTCCTGCTCCCCTCTGCGCGGTGGTGCTGAGGGAGCCGTTCCTTGCACTGATGTCTGTCCCACCCCACAGGACTGTGCCCAAGTTCATGAAGCGGAGTAAAGTCCCCGACTACCGGGACAAGCAGGTCTTTGGGGTGCCGCCCATCATCAACGTGCAGCGGACGGGGCAGCCCCTGCCCCGCGGTGCCTGCGGGGCGCCTCCGAGCCTGCAGCAGCGCTGGGATTCGGGGGGAAAAGCTAGCTTGCAGGGGTGCTTTTTGTTCCCCTCTTGCAGTGTTTGGCTGTGGTGAAGCGGGAGGGGGAGATGCTCTGTGGGGACTCCACACCCACCGGTGTCTCCTTGGCCGTCCCTCACTCAGGACTCCACTCTGGGTTGCGGGGGAGCGAGGCCTTTGGGGAAGGGGCTTCCTTGCCCGTCCCACAGGAGTCC